TTTTTAAAAAAAAAAATAACTATTATACTAATGAGTGTTGCTGTTTGGTGTTTAAAATTACGTGCGCATGGGGATCTAACAAATACCACCATGCCAAGGTCAACTACTATTTTATAGTTGTGAAAATTTCAAATAGGGGAACGTGTCAGTGTCACTGTCAAGCAGTGTTTTGTGACCCGGACCGGCAGGTGGGTCGACCCGAGACCGATCAATCTGGAGCCGGAACCGGTTCGAGTAGGCTAATTGGACCGGACAACAACGGACTCGGTCAAACCCGGCCGACCCAGCCTTGACCCAATCGACTCGGGGCATTGACCCGGCTGGGTCAACCCGATTGACCCGGTCCCTATATGTATTTTTTTATTTTTTTTGTTTTTAATTTTTTTTTCTTTTTAAAAAATAAAATTGTGTATATATATTTATATGGTAAATATATACATATTATTAATACTTTAATCTACAAATTTTACATACAAAATATTTAAATTTGCTATTTTTATGTATATTTATATATAACAAAATACTATATATATAATTTATAAATTTTAAAATCAATTATCCGATTCAGCAATTGACCCGGTGACCCAGTGACCCGGAGACCTGCCCGGGTCGATTATCGGGCCGGGTTTAAAAACTATGTTGTCAAGTTCATGTTTTCGCAAAATTGCATTTTGTGCCATGTAACTATGTGAGCGTGACAAATGTGGACAGCTTCTTTTTGTTTTGGCAAAAGTGTCCTAACATTTGTTAAAACTCGGTATTCGCCCAATTTACCTACAAGTTACCGAATTTGACCGGTGTTTCGTGTGGCAAAACAGCACAGTAACTTGTTAAAATTTAAAATTTGTGCCCAAATTGGACAAGAATTTCGGGTTTTAACAAGTTTCAAGGTACTTTTGTCAAACCGAAAAGAAGTTGTCTACATTTACCACACACGCATAGTTACAAGGCACAAAATGCAACTTTGCCTTTATGATATTTTCTAATTAATTTATTTTATTTATTTATTATTATTTTTGTGGTCCAGTTAATTGAGATTATAAAGAAAAAAAAAAGATAGGTAAGACGAATTCATTCACCATTTTAATAAATAAATCTTTTATCTAGTGAATTTTTTCATATTTAATGGCACCGATTTTTTTTTTTTAATAATGAATCATTATTAATGATAATAAATTTCCTTGGCGTGTGTCACATAGTAGCTGAATATTGGTTGGCTTCGAAAGCCACAAGCAAGCCCCTCATTGTATTTCAAAAGAGAACGAAGTTTTTTTTTTTTTTTTTTTTTTTTTT